TGCATGTCCTTAAAACAGGTGGCATTTGGAGCAATTTGCAGTCTGGATACATAGCCCGAGCTCATCCAAATGAGCTGAAAACCCTGCAGAAATGGAGCACCAGCAGAACTAGCAGACTAGTCTTGTTCTGTATTTGCATGGCTCCAAATTATTAGCTGTTAACTGTGCTTTCCAGCTAGAGAATGTAGGTGCCTACGCTTAACCCTTCCAGACTTCTCAGCAGAATGGAGTGTGATTCTTCACTGGGCCATCTGGCCTCTGCTAAGCGGGTGTTTGCATTTGCTAACCGGATTAAGAAATTGCGGCATATTTTGCAACCGTCTTCTTCAATAAATAAGGAAGCCCTAGAATGCATTGTGTTGATGGCCCACATTATATTAAGTGATGAGAGCAAAATAAGTATGAAAGGCAACAGAAGCACCCATACCAACTCTTCCTCTTATTTAAAACATCAAATAAAATCAAAGGCACAATCAGTTGCTGAAACTGTACAAGATACAACTTCAGTCAGAAGTCATGACTCTGTAATGGTTCTGCAGGGAATCCAGCAGAAACGTCTCACACTTCAAAGGTCTCCTCTCAACTTGAAAGGAACCTAAACCATGTAAGTGAGGGGAAAAGAAAGACTCTTGTACTAATGAAACCAACCACTATAGGCTTTGACATACTAGCGATCTTGTCAGTTCCAAGTTGATGTCACCTAGAATAACTGTGAGGCCATGAATCAGGGACACTCCTCAGTGTGAATACATACACCTGCATGAGTGCCTGTAATATCTAGGGTCATTATGTTCTTTGCCAAAAAAACAACATCCTGTAATTACCAGATTCATGTTACCAGCTTGGCAGTCACCCACAGCTGCTAATATCTGACGGCCGAGTTGGTGGTCCTCCGCTCTAATCATAACTACTCCTAATTAGTCACTGTGCATATGTATTAGTCACAAGATCCTCTTTACCTTTTATAACATTCCAATATTTCAGCCACTTTGATTACATACAACAGCAAAAAGCAATTACTCTACATGACGGATGACAAATTTAATTTTCAAACCAAATCTGGGGTTTTAAGTTGTGTCAATCAACTCCCTCTCCTCTGACAACTTTGAGTGTCTGCTCATGCCTCCATCAGCTTCAGTAGTGCGGGCTCATACTTTATATTAGTTACCTCTGAAACCTGTCATTGTGTTTAGTCTGTTTCAGCAAAAACAAGTCCAGTGGCACCTTAAAGACTAGCAATTTTATTTTGGAATACATGGACACATCAGACATCAAGAATGGTAGCATACAAAAACTAGTGGGAGAACATCTTAACCTCCCTGGACACACAGTTACAGACTTGAAAGTTGACATCCTCAAGCAAAAAAAAAAAAAAAAAAAAAAATTCAAAACCAAGCTGCATATGTGAAACTGCTGAGCTGTAATTCATATGCAAATTTGATACCATCAGAATGGGTCTAAATAGAGTTTGGAAATGGCTTACTCATCACCATAAGTGATTTTCTACTTGAGATATTCTCTCCTTCTTATCCACATCCGTGCAGATTGAATTGGCTCAGATTCTCACCTTCTTATCCACATCCATGCTTATTGAATTGGCTCAGATGTAACACTCCCATCTCTGTATCCCTACTATCAGTTTCTTTGTGCATCTGAGGAAGTGAGCTACAACTCACAAAAACTTATGCCATAATAAAATGCTTAGTCTTTAAGGTGCCACTGGAGTCCTTGTTCTTTAAATAAATGACTCTACTGGTTGATGAAAGCTGAAAGGAGGCTCAATAGGGAGAAAGTTAGATGGACCAATGGTGGAAATAAGAATGGAGAAGTGGCTCTTTCTCTTCACAAATATTGGTAGGTTCCTCTCTGTTGTGATTGCACCATTAATATCTGTTGTGAATGAACACCGGGAGGCCCATAGCTATGGTTGTGGGAAGGGACACAGAGTTATCAAGCTGTTCAGGGCTGATAGATGTCATACTAGTTTCAGTGTGAGGTGGTCAAGGCTGGCTCTGTTCAAGTGAAGGCAGAAGCGGCTTGAGGAGAGCTGCCAGCAGCTGGCGCCCTAGGCGGAATGCGCGATCTGCGCCCCCACCTCCATAGCCCTCAATGGCTTGACGTCATCACTGGGCGCCCCGTTGAACGCGGCGCTCTAGGTGACTGCTGAGGTTGCTTGCATCTACAGGCCACCCCTGAGTGAAGGCCATTCCTTTCCTACCTATTCCACTAACTTTAGCAAAATAAAACAGCACAAAAAAGGCTGTTTTTTAAAGCAGAGGTAATTTATGGGGCCTGGAATTTCTCTCAGAGGACAAAGTGGTTGCACCTCAGTGTAGGGTTGCCAGATGGTTTCCACAAAAATACCGGACACACTTGATAAAAATTTGTCGACCAAAAAAAATATATATGATATGGGAAGTTTATTGACGACAATCTACATTACAGCATATATTTTACATTAGAGTGTGCGGCTTTTATCAATTTTTTAAAAACTCATCTTTTGCTCCAAACAAGTGAAAGGTATATTAAAAACCCCCCCACAAAGTTGACTTCTTACTGACTGAACACTCTGTTGCGTTCATCAGTCCATAGATTACCCATGACACTAACAATTCTTTCCACACTGGCATTTGACACAGGAATTGAAACAGAATATTGAACCAATTTTAATAAATTTGGAGGAGCAGGTTCTTTGCTGAAAAAATATCCCTTACCTTAAAAGAGTGCTGCGAGATACGAGAAAGATGAAAGCTAGACAAAGGACAACACTGTCGCAAATCATACGTTTATAAAAGGAAAATATTCAGCACTACTGCATAGTTGCATACTGCCTGGCTGGTAGACATGCTCATGAAGCGTGAGCATGTATACCAGCCAAGCAGTACACAACTACGTACTGATACTTGTATCCAAGCGGCAAATTGGTATAGTAGTTCATAGCGAAGGCTTAGAGAGTGAGTGAGAATACTCGTGCACAAGTCAGATCATAACATGATGATAACATTTATTTAATTAGAAAATTCTGAACGTTTATATGTCTGGTACAGGGGCGGATATAGAGCAGGGCGAATGGGGCGGGCGCCCCGGGCCCCGCGCTTCAGAAAGCCCCGTGCATGCGCCGTGGCGCCGCTGCGCATGCGCATGACGTCACTGCGCATGCGCCGTGGCAAAGGGGGAGCCCGCGGAATTATGCTGCCCGGGGCCCCGCAAAACGGTCATCTGCCCCGGTCTGGTATTTTCTCAATTTGTTTACCGGACAGAGAGCTCAAATACCAGACTGACCGGTTCAAAACCAGACACCTGGCAACCCTACCCCAGTGTGACACAGTCACACGCTCAAGCATATCATCTTGCTGTACTGAAACATGGCATGACTGAGTAACCTGTTTAACAATGGAACAGGGTACAAAGGGGCTGTTGCATAACGATGTCAGGGAGCAGAGGCTGTTACCCTGCAGCAAAAGTCACCATCCGTCCTGTCATTCTGCAGCCCGGCACCAAAGCCCCACTTCCTGCCACGATGGCCCTGCCACCAAACCATTTGCCATGGTGATGCAGCGGGGCACCAACGAGTCATCCGCAAGCAGGGCTGTGAGGACAGGAGGCTCAATCACAAATAAACAGAGTTGTTGACTCGCGTCCCATGACTTAAGTCGCCTAGGTGACTCGACTTGAGACTCGACTCGGGTTCATTGTTTGTGACTTGAGACTCGACTTGAGATTTGCTAATTTTGTTAAATCGACTCAGTGAAAAAATTGTCCGAAAATGCCGATATGGATGGCTTGTACAAAAGTGACTGGACATTTTTAAATTAAGATTTGAGACTCGACTTGGGACTTGACTCCAAAGCGACTTTAGGGACTCGAGACTTGACTTGAACGGTAGTGACTTGAAACTCGACTTGAACGGTAGTGACTTGAGAATCGACTTGAACGGCAGTGACTTGAGACTCGACTTGGACTTGGCCACGACGACTGGAAGACAACACTGCAAATAAAAGGCTGTGCTGCCCAGCTTCCTGTTCCCTCCTCCCCCTGTTCTTTCCTATGAAAGGCAGAAAACAGCCTCTCCAGGAAAAAGGCTTCAAGAGCAGGCCCTTCTTGGGACCAGAGCTCTGACCTCCTCAACATGGCGCCCCTGTGCGGTAGTGACACCTGCGTCGTAGTAGGGCGGCATTTGACCTTCTCAACATGGCGGGCACCTCTTCCCCCCCCCCCTCCTTTTTTTTTTTTTCCGCC